TACCAAAGGTTACAATTTTTATTTTGAAGACTGCATGGTCTAGGAAGTGTACATTTTTTTATGGTGAAAGTTTCCAAGGGCGGGTATTCTAGGGGCGAGTTGACTGCCAAAGTGCAAGCCAGCGTGTTATTTGATCACATATACACATTTATTTATATATTTATTATATATATAATATATATTATGTATATCATAGGCAGTAGAAGGTCCTGGGTTCAAAACATGGTTTGGGCACCTATTTTTTCACACTCATAGATTCCTCTTCTGTAACGTTCAAATTTTATTTGTACATAAAGCATTACCACAAGATGATTTATTAACATTATGCATTCAATGCTTATTGATTACGCTAATTAAAATAATATAATGCAGTTTTTTTTATGAAAATTATATTTTACTATATTTTATGTGACTTTGAAATAGCATTTGCCTAATAGGACTTTTATTTGAAGTATAAATAAATGCATTACATAACTTAACGCAAATTTAATTAATACAATGGGTTATTTAATTTTTTATGTAAATGCATATTTTAGTATCTTTGACTTGTTTATGTGAATTTGAAATAACAGGCTTGTGTAAAACATTTTGGACAAACTATAATTGAATGCATTAAATGATATAATGCAAATTAAATTATGTTTTTTTTTTAATGAAAATGCATATTTTACTATATTATTGTGAATTTGAAATAACACTCAATAATATTTTGGTCAAACTATAATTGAACACCTAAAGCCCAGTCCAGACTATAAAATTTGATTTTACAAAAACATGTGACATGCCTAAATATGGTCATGATGACATCACATCATGACCATATAAAGGCACATCATGACTATATATAGGCACATCATGACAGTTTTTTGTCAAAGAAAATTTTATATTTTGGACAGAGCTTCAAGAAATAAAAATTGAAGCTGAAAAGGAGGATCAAGTATTGTAATCCAAAGAATCTATCAAATGTCAGTTAATGCCAGTCTCAAATGAATCACGAAAACACTTCCTTTGTCATCTCTACTGAGCCTTGAACCTATGAGGTTTATACTGCATGTCCATCAGAATTATGGTCATTTTGATTTTAAACATAATGACTACAAATACGTTATTGTGTGTTAACCTAAAATCAAGAAATTGAATCAGGATTAACTTGTGATTATCATCAGAAAAGGTAACTAAGCTCTTTATTCCAGATCTTCAAGACTGAACCAAGGACTGCAACAGAGCAAACAGTTGAAATCAAAGGATGGTTTTCAGTGAATTACTTGCTAATGCATCTGATTTCAAAAAACTCCGCTTTTCAGTCGTCTTAGGCCCTTGTTTTTTGACAAACAATGACCTTTCAGAGGTCAAATTGCTGTCAAGAATATAAATTGGCTGCTTCGCAGCAATAAATATATATGTGTGTGTGTGTATATGTATATATATATATATATATGTATATATATATATATATACATTTATATATATATTTATTATATATATAATATATATTATGTATATCGTAGGCAGTAGAAGGTCCTGGGTTCAAAACATGGTTTGGGCACCTATTTTTTCACACTCATAGATTCCTCTTCTGTAACGTTCAAATTTTATTTGTACATAAAGCATTACCACAAGATGATTTATTAACATTATGCATTCAATGCTTATTGATTACGCTAATTAAAATAATATAATGCAGTTTTTTTTATGAAAATTATATTTTACTATATTTTATGTGACTTGAAATAGCATTTGCCTAATAGGACTTTTATTTGAAGTATAAATAAATGCATTACATAACTTAACGCAAATTTAATTAATACAATGGGTTATTTAATTTTTTATGTAAATGCATATTTTAGTATCTTTGACTTGTTTATGTGAATTTGAAATAACAGGCTTGTTTAAAGCATTTTGGACAAACTATAATTGAATGCATTAAATGATATAATGCAAATTAAATTATGTTTTTTTTAAATGAAAATGCATATTTTACTATATTATTGTGAATTTGAAATAACACTCAATAATATTTTGGTCAAACTATAATTGAACACCTAAAGCCCAGTCCAGACTATAAAATTTGATTTTACAAAAACATGTGACATGCCTAAATATGGTCATGATGACATCACATCATGACCATATAAAGGCACATCATGACTATATATAGGCACATCATGACAGTTTTGTGTCAAAGAAAATTTTATATTTTGGACAGAGCTTCAAGAAATAAAAATTGAAGCTGAAAAGGAGGATCAAGTATTGTAATCCAAAGAATCCATCAAATGTCAGTTAATGCCAGTCTCAAATGAATCACGAAAACACTTCCTTTGTCATCTCTACTGAGCCTTGAACATAAGAGGTTTATACTGCATGTCCATCAGAATTATGGTCATTTTGATTTTAAACATAATGACTACAAATACGTTATTGTGTGTTAACCTAAAATCAAGAAATTGAATCAGGATTAACTCTGTCTCTTATACACATCTAGATGTGTATAAGAGACAGGTTTAGATATATATTTTTTTTTATTAATTTGATTAGTGTTTTTAATTAATTAATATTATTATTATTATTATTTTTAAAAATTTTCATTTAATGTAGCCATAAAATTTTTTTTGGGAGAATGTTGTTATTATTGTTGGAAATATATATCCGAAAACTATTTCAGAAAAATATGGATATATATTTCGATTCTGAAGATGTTTTTTTTTTCAAATGTTGATTAATTACTGCGTGACTTAAATGAATACCCTAGGCTAGGCCACTCTAAGCCGCGATACAAGTGATTTGTCATCGCAGGCAGTGAGAGGAGACGTCGTGTCTAGGCTGTACGCGGGGTGCATGCATGGTCACACACACATTCAAGATAGATTTGAAAAATTCCTTTTTTATTAACCATACTAGTAAAGCTGACCCAAGATTGTTGAGATTTTGAGTTGTTCAGAATTTGGCAACACACAGATCTACCAAGTCTCATGCATTGGGGCATCAGACTCACACATTTTGTGGCTTTTCTCCAGCTCTTGCGTATAAAAGTAATGCATGAGGTGTTGAACCTATGGCCACTTTCGCACTAAACGCACAAAAACATCAGTTTAATTATACAGTGATCTGAATACAGAGATCTTACATGCACCCATGCTTATATGCACATGAGAACAATGGCTTAAAACATCTAAAAAAAATGGGCTAAAATAGTAACTTGCATTTGACATATGGTTCAGCGCACACACCGTGGGGATCATCCAGGCTACTGGTGGGCAGGGCCTGCCGCCTGGGAGAATTTGCGTCCCCACATCATAAAGAAAAAAAACACAAAAATTGAATGGTTTTTTTTTTATACATTATTAGTAAATTAGTAAATAAGCAGTTGACTAATAGTCATAGCTCCCCGGAATTTGAGCAACATGGATGTCGTCGGGGATATCCTGGCACCACCCCTGCTATCGTCAGTTTGTCAAAACAAATGTATTTATTAAACTTTTGTTTTTCTCCCCATTCAGGTATAACACCAAGGATCCTGAAAGTAATGCCGGCCTGTGCCATTATGCTAGGAAGTTATGAATTTGGAAAATCATTCTTTAGAAAGTACAACTCTGAAAGGACTAAAAAATCAGAATTTGACTTGTGTATGTGAATTTGAAATAACAGGCTTGTTTAAAACATTTTGGACAAACTATAATTGAATGCATTAAATGATATAATGCAAATTAAATTATGTTTTTTTTTTAAATGAAAATGAATATTTTACTATATTATTGTGAATTTGAAATAACACTCAATAATATTTTGGTCAAACTATAATTGAACACCTAAAGCCCTGTCCAGACTATAAAATTTGATTTTACAAAAACATGTGACATGCCTAAATATGGTCATGATGACATCACATCATGACCATATAAAGGCACATCATGACTATATATAGGCACATCATGACAGTTTTTTGTCAAAGAAAATTTGATATTTTGGACAGAGCTTCAAGAAATAAAAATTGAAGTTGAAAAGGAGGATCAAGTATTGTAATCCAAAGAATCCTTCAAATGTCAGTTAATGCCAGTCTCAAATGAATCACGAAAACACTTCCTTTGTCATCTCTACTGAGCATTGAACATAAGAGGTTTATACTGCATGTCCATCAGAATTATGGTCATTTTGATTTTAAACATAATGACTACAAATACGTTATTGTGTGTTAACCTAAAATCAAGAAATTGAATCAGGATTAACTTGTGATTATCATCAGAAAAGGTAACTAAGCTCTTTATTCCAGATCTTCAAGACTGCACCAAGGACTGCAACAGAGCAAACAGTTGAAATCAAAGGATAGTTTTCAGTGAATTACTTGCTAATGCATCTGATTTCAGAAAGTCATATTTACTGGTTAATGGTTAACAGAAAAAATAATCACATTTGCAATTTTTTGTGGATGGTATTCATCAATTATAAGTGGAGAACAATTACTTAACCCAAGAAATTGAATCAAGATTAACTTGAGATTATCATCAGAAAAGGTGGCAGAAACAGTTGAAATCATAGAATAGTTTTCAACGAATTACTTGCTAATGCATCTGATTTCAGAGGGTCATTTTTAATGGTTAACAGAAAAACATCACTACATCTGCATTTATAAGTGAAGTGGTATTTGTATCAATGGAGGTATAACACTTTTTAAAAGTTTTATGATTTTAGAGATAAAGGAAAAAAGTGTGTTTGGGATTCAAACCCAAGGCTCACGAATGCGAGTTGGTGTATACTGTATGTTAGTAAATAGACTTGTATAGACTTTTTTATTCTTGGCTTATTAATGTTTTTTATTGTTTTTTTTTTTGTTTTTTTTTTGTTTTATTTTTGTGATTTTGTTTTACATTCACATCAACCCTTGATAGAATTTGGATTATTTAATAGGTTTGTACGATTATTTTTCAGTAAATTGTAAGCAATGAGTCTAATAATATATACATTTGTATAATGTTAGTTAAAATGTTTCAGAAGCCTTCTTTCCGTATAGATTTTGTTACTGGAGTATACATGTGGCTTGACGATTGAGGTGTTTGTTCTTTAATCCTATGGTCTTTAGTTCAAATCTTGCAAAATGCTAGACTTAACACTAACTGAACTCCCTAACCCCAGGTACAATGTGCGACTCCCACACATGCATTTATTTTCATGCATGTATACAGCATTTCTATTTTGTTGCTGAATAAAATCAAGTTTATAATGAAAAACACAACTCCACTTTATTATGGAGAATAAAATTTGTATTCTTTAAATTATGAGTGCGTGATAAGAAAAAGCTGAAGATACAGTAGGCCCTACTTGTGTTACAGAGTTTGGGGGCTGAAATAATCATCCAAACTCATTGAGTTTTGTTACACAGGGTGGGAAAGTAGTTCATATATAAACTCTTCTGTGTTGTGTTGCACGGTTGAGAGGTGTAGTTGGCTTCCAAAGAAAAGGTTGGAATTTTTTTTTAATGTCAGAATGCAAATTATATTTTTTTAAATTTGTAAACCTAGTTGATAATTTCTAATAACATTTAAAAATGTATATGCTAAAGTACACTGTATTATTTTGTTCATGTGATTCTTTTCATATACGGTAATAATATTGTATTCCTTTAAATTGTATTTTGTGTAGCTCTTGTATTTGATTAGTAATTTTTTAATCGTTTATTTTCCTATAATATAAAAATGATAATATTCTTAATGTTTGTTCCATACTTGTGGATGAGAAGTAAAAATTGATTATATTCATTGTAAGCAGCTGATTGAATAAAGAATTTAATTGACTAAATGATGGTGTTCTTGCAATATATTTGGTGAATACAGGTGGAGTGCGGTATCTACGCCAGATTTCCGAAACTCAGTTTGCCGAGTCCACTTTGTTGAAATCAAGTTTGCTGAATATCAGGGTCAATTCAAAAATTGAGAAACCCAGTTTTGCCGAAAGTAAATTTGAAAGTTACATCAAAATTACCACATAGCTGTCGGAAGCATTTTGCAAGTGGTCCGGCCATTTTAATTAGAATGGGCATGGGTGGGTGGTGGGGTGAACTCATTTTTTTTTCACCATGGTTGAAAAAATGGCTCCTTAGCTGGGAAATAGCATATGCATACTTTAAGAAAAGTTACTGTTTTCACTTTTAATTTAAGGGTTTAAATTTTAATTGGAGGTAGGCCTAATCAGGGCCGGCCTGGCCATTATGTCTTTGCCAAAATTTGATAATGTTATTTGTTATTTTATATTATACCTCTTAATATTTTCAAAATCAATCTTAAATATTAAAATTAAGGATTCAATAAAATTGAAATGTACACAGCAATACAAAAAAAGCTCATGGTGGATTAAAAAATATATATATAGGCCTATACAACATCGAAAAGACAATGTGATACAAACATTAATAATAAATCCACTTAATATAGTAATGTAGACATATTCATTAAAATTAGTATAGTTCTCCCTCCAATTAAAGACCCCTCCAATTAAAGTCCCCTCCAATTAAAGACCACCTCCAATTAAAGAAAACATTTCTGCGGCCTCCGTTGGATGGTTATCCAATTAAAATTTCCTCTATGTAGAGACTATGGTTTTGGTAGCTCCACTACAAAATAAACAGTGTTCTTAATGTATTTTTTTTTCTACAATAAATTGTGTTATATAGGCCTATTTAATTCATTTTCGTCTTTATTTCGGACAGTAAATAGGCCTACATGGTGCGGTACAATATTCTCCGTGGCTCAAATATTAGTAACAAAGGCCGAAAAATGACCAAAACAATAACATAAGCAAATCTTTACATTAATAATAATTTCATCCATCTACAATTGAGAGAGAATGATGGAAGAGCAAATTCCTATATGCATTTCGTAAAACATTGTCACTCTTCCCCAATCTACACAACCTGTATGCTACCTTATGTTGTAGTTCAAAGAACGAGCAAAGATGGTTTTATGACTACACGTAGCTATTAGCCAATACACTGTTTTGTGTATAGCGTTTTGTATATTAAATGACGATAAAGTTAGTGGCAATGTTAGTAATATTTTAATGGAAAGACAAGTTGATGTCTAGCTACCAAGAAATGTTCCAATGGCGGATCTAGGGGGGGGGGGGGGGGGGGGGTGGATAGCCACCCCCTCCATTTACGATCTAGGTGGAGTGGGGGGGGGGGGGTGGATAGCCACCCCCTCCATTTACTGTGAAAAATAAAATGATGGTCACTCGTCTTGTTTGTATTCGTCTCGTGCGCTGTACTCTGGAAAAACATACACTTTCTATTTTAAGCTTAGGCCTACTTCTTTTCCGATGTCACCTAAGATCGTCTAGCAGTCTACTACAGTAATTCAAAAAAAAATCTCAAATGTGAGGGGATGCCCCTCCCAAAACCACCCCTTCCGCTCGTGCCTTAATCCTCACCTCCCATTATCCACCCCTCCCCCATTGCTAAATCCTAGTGTTTAATTAAGAATAAATAAGAGCATGCAGTTACTATACAACCATTTTAAAACATATAATGTATTATTTTTTTAATTTCCATCTAGATAGAGAAAAAGACCACATTTAGTACCTATGAGTTCCAAACCAACCGTAGAGTCTCGGAATGGATTCTCCTGGAACTGGCAGGAAGGACTCCAGCATTCTGGCCCACGCGCACGCGAGCACGTCGAATCTCCCGAAATAAACCATCTCCCGTAAATTCAAGATGATATTTGCATGCTTTATCTAGTTTTTATACTGTAATATCAATTGTCTGCGCAGCAGTTAGTACCAATCATTAATGGTTATCACCATGCACACCAAAATGTGATGTCATAAGAAAATTAATTTAAACAGGAGATCTCCCGGATATGGATTCTTCAAAATTCGGACCCCTGTTGAGTGACTTTTAATTCTTAATTATAGGGATTTCTACTACTTTAAAATGTATTGGTTTTAGTCTTTTTACGCACTACAGACATCAAAATATACATCAATAGCCGACGTTCTGTGTGCAGTGCTCCGTATTGAATGCCATTAATTTTAGTAGGACATTGAAATTTTTCGAATTAAATGGAGCTCAAGACATTCGTGTGTGGCATGCAGTAATACATTCTAAAACACTTGGAAGAAAAAATTCAACCGTAATGCATAATATTATGGTTTTGGCAGACCCAACTAAAAAATGTTTCCTTCATTAAATAATACATTAAAATATAAGTATAGCGATTTTAATGCATTAAAAAAAAGATGATGATGATGATGATGATGATGATGATGATGATGATGATGATGATGGTAGGCCTACTTTAGATGATGTTTCGTGTATTGCGTGCTCTATATTGAATGGACGGTGCTGTTAGTAATATTGTAATGGTTAGGTAGAACGAGCATAGGACTTGACTTAACTGTAGGCCCTACATCCATTCTAACGATCTTACATTTACTATATCATTTCTTAATTTCCCTCAAAATAGAGATTGGCCTATTTAAAGACTACTTTTAAGCCGGTCTTTAATTAGGACTAATAGGGATTCAAAGTAGAGACCAAAGCTGCTAAAGACCACTAAACCACTGGTCCCAAAAAGGATTTTTAATTGGTGGTATGGAGAGGGAGACCTGTAGATTGAGAAAAAGTGGTCCGGCCAAAGCCGGTGCGGTTCCGACGGCCCTGTACAACAGCACGAACTTCATGATGGGAACAAACTCTTGCTCGCATCTCGATTACCTAGGCCTACCACTGCACCTAGCCCAAGGATTGTCCTCCTGTGTTCAGCCCAAATTTCATTCTGAATTATCTTTAGGCCTACATGTATTTCCCCCATCGGCCCCCATGTCAAATAAGCTAGACAATTCACTATGAATAGGGCATTCAACAAACTATCCTAGTATGCGGGTCGAAACTCGACAAACTGAGTTTTGGAAAACTGGGTTTGCATAATTTTGGTTCGGTAAATGATGGCACTCGACAAAATTGACTCCTTTTTAACTCAGAAATTGCGGCCACATCTTTAGTAAGCCCTTCCCTGTTTCTGGAGTCCTGTATAATTGACCTTCCACGATCCAGATTGTAGTGATGAGAATGACAATTGATTTAACTGAACACACCAATAGTAAAAAATAAATAGGATTTATAGTGAATTTTTAAGAGTAGTGGGGTAGGAGTAAACATCCTACCCCTTTGCTCAAGCCCCGCCTGTTGGGTAGCCTTATTTCTGTTAATGCACCGCAAACCGACAACCGTAACATACCCTCGTAAATTTGTGTTTGTGGGACATGAGCCTATTCCCTGTTATTAAATAACTTCATCATTAGTCAGTTGTAAAGATGGACACTCCCATAAAGTAAAGCATTTACCGAAATTTACACGCAAATTCAATCTGCGTGTACGTGCACATGGCCCCGAGTACCCAAAAAAAAAAAAGAAAAAAGAAAGAAAAAAACCACGACACGCTCCAAAAACCAATTTTTAATGTCTGAATGTGTTATCTTCGCTAAGCGTCCGTGGTTAGGCTATTTTATACATTAATAATACAATCTTTTAGTAAATAGCAGTGTTCTTAGAAAGCTGGATCTGTTGATGTAATACCGACATTATAAGGGCCAGATTAAAAAGCTCATGACCAGCAAGTAATATAGTATAAAGTAAAATAGTATCATTCAACTTTAAAACATCTCATAGTTTTAGTCGTGGGTGTTAGCAGACAACAGCTGTAGTACAGCATAGGCCTATATTTACTTTAATTTTTATGATCAGAAGGTCCGTCATTGTATTGACTTCAACGAAACGTGTCATGATTTATTAAATTTTCTTCTTTTGAATCAATATTGAACAATATTGTTGCTGATACTGAACTAAGATATCCATTATTCAACGCTACTAAGTGTCCAGAAAAAATTATTTTTTTTCTCTGCATGGTAGTTCATTCGTTGTATTTGTATTTTATTCTCCACGAGGTCAATATCTTTGAATGAGCACAATTCGTTGATGAAACAGACATGTCTGCAGTCTGCTTCATTATTATTCTGTATTGGTTTTTTTAATCGCCATGTATATTATAGCATCATTGCGAATTCCAAATAGTTTTTAATTAAACAATTGCTTCGCTCAGCCTTTTTTTTAATATCTTAAGTGAACTACGTGGCTTTTGTATAGCCTTTTTTTAAGTCTGAAATTTTTAGTTCGGTGATATTCGTTTGCTAAAGCATTGCACAATTTCAACCCAGGTTGGCATAACCACAAATTCATTCGCTTCGCTCACGACCCCGCCCTCTACTTCACGTATGAAGCTCTAATCCGCCCCGGGCCCCCACCTGTGCGATAGTCAGGATAAACTCTGGATCCGCGCCTGCTTTCAATAGAGAAGGGCCCTACCACCATGGAAGACTTATATTATACCACGTTACGATGCACTACAACCAGTATTTCTAGAGAGAGAATTTAATCAATCAATAGGCCTACTTATTCCTAGTTGTAAAAATTAGTCACCCAAAACAGATATCGCGTGATGGATGAAAATATCCATAGTTCAACAAACTCAAAGGGGGAGACTCTCTGACAAAAATTTGTAAAATTCATTGACAACGACCGACACATCATTTCTCCGACAGACGATTTGTCGTAAAAGACTACCGTATTTCATTTCATATAGACCATACCACTGTATAGGCCTATCCTACAGTATATACATACAAATATTCGGCGAATTGGCTGTTGGCGAATTGGCTGTTGGCGAATTGACTGTTGGGCGAATTGGTTTTCCTTGAATTTGCTGTCGGCGATATGTTTAAATTTTGTCGGTGAAATGTCCTGTCGGCCAACACGTGTGTCGGCGAAATCTAATCGGTCAGTAGGCTTATGACGGAAACCTGAAATGTTTGAAATGAATGAGTGAGTTGGCATTCGGCAAAAACATTCCGTCACAATATTTTTACAGATAAGACAATATCAACACAACACAAGTAGCCCTTTAACTCATTTCATATAACTTTTGTGCTGACTCACTCCAGTTAACTCATTACCTTTTTTTTTTGCTGACGCATGCCAGGTAATTCTCATCTGATTGATTACTTCTGATAAATATAGTTGTTGGCTGAGGTTATGAAATAGTCACTCATTAGCGATTTGGTGTGCTATTAAGGTAACGATTTTCTTTCTTAAATTTAAAATAAAATCAATTTTATATAAATCCATCAAGACATGTAATCACAATTCCCTTACAATTCAATAGGCATATGAAGCATTACAGCCCTACTCGTTAAATCTTAAGCAATAAGCCTATAAACAAACGTATTTGAAAGAGAAAGAAAAATAGATCGTTTTACCATAAAAGAATTGGGCCTCATTGGTCCATTCTAAAATGTGAAAAAAAAAAACTTACAGTAATAAATCTTTGCATGAGTATTGAAAGAATAATCTGGTTGTAATAAATAAAACCATAATTAAAATGCTTATATTTAGTTTCAAACAAAGTGTTAGCCTAAAATTGTATATTCCGTTAAGATACCGTATGTCTTATTTTATATATGGGGGAGGGGGAGGGTATCACATCGGGCCATAAATTACTAACCGGAAAAATTATTACCTTTGCAACACCCCCACCCCCGACCCAAAACCCAGCTGTTACGCGCCTACGGGTCACAATCTCCTGCAGAGCCCTAGGATGAACGTCAGAAAAGGCCTCGCCGCACTCGCGACCATGCCATCAAGAATCTCCAAACAACCTCCCACTCGCTTCAGTGTCTATGGTATCACCATGCAATCAAAACATATTTTTTTAACTTCTTCAAATCCCATCCCCTCCCCATCCCAAGTGCCGGTCTTTAATTATAGACATTCTTTACACCAAAGACCATGGTTTTGCCCCAGTCTATAGCCTACTGTAAACTTGAGTTGGTGACTACTGAAAATGGTTTATTATCAGTAACATCAAGCCTGCGTGCAATCAATTCTAATAAAACACTTTAAAGAAACAATACCCTACGTTAATGTATCATCATATTGGCAGACTTAATTAACATTTTACCTTCAAATAAAGAATGTAATATCTATTTAAATGTACTTTTTCAAATAATAGTGTTTGACTGTATACATCAAAATAATACAACATAGCATGATGTTTTGTTTATGTGTGCTCTCGGGATGTCAAAAGTTTTATTAATTGTCCATATTCCAACAATAAGATATAGACAGAAGATGGTTTGATACGAAAGTACAATACTGTAAAACCTCGAATTGAAGCCCAATGGGCTTAATCTTCGGAAGAAGCCCATCTCGAATTGAAGCCCTCTGCACACCCCCTCTTTAGTTTGCAAAATTAGCCTCGAAAAGAAACCCATTTCAAGAAAGCATTGACTTTTTTTTCGAGATAATTAGAGTACATACATAATTGTACATGAATTTCAAAAAACAGAATAAATTAAAAACAAGCTTGGTTTATACAGTAGTTTAGGTGATTTAATGCCAGTTAATAAACTCCGTGATACAGATTGATGTTACAGTGGCCTTATTTATAGTTTTATAGTACAAATTCCCAAAATTTACAGCATTTTACTTTGCAAAAGTAGCCTTGAAAAGAAGCCCATCTAAAGTTCGGGAAAAAGCCTAGGGCTTCAATTCGAGGTTTTATGGTATATTCAGTGGACTCGAGGATCGTGGAATACGGAACAGAAACTACCTCAGCCCTACCATGGTTGGCATTTCTATGCATGGAACTTTTAGATTGCCGGAAATGACTGTCAGCCTCAAAATTTGAATGTAAATTTATTTTATCTTCCAATTATTTATTTATAATTGTAAAATTCAGGGCCACTCGTGGTTGATTTTCCACGACGATAGATAGATGATGATTTTCAGCAAAAGTAATAATTTGAAATAGTGGCGGATCCTAAATAGTAGGGTGTTGAGAAAGTAAATTTTACATCAATACACGTCTGGCAGCCATGCCACGTGGTTGGGCTAGGCTGAACTTTTAAATGTCTATATTTTTTCAATATCCAGGTTATAAAAGAAATACAAATTACAAGACAAAACGTACATACAAAAAATGTTAATTACCTGAGGATTGCCACTGGCTTTCCTATAATTATACATCTTCACATAAAGCATACAGAAAATATAATAGATTCTAATAGATCACCAATAAAATATTGGATTTAAATATAATGCCAGTTAAAACAATTTACTGTGAACGAAGACTATATGCCTATGTCAAAGATATTTAATTATTAATATTAGGCACCTTGATTATAGTTCATACTGTTGTAAGACTAGAAAAATAATCAAAATAACGTTTAGATAGGAAAAATATTATTTTCTAAATTTTTTGAGCTGACGACCTCGTCGTGGCTTTGAAGTTCGACAGGGGAAAGCCTTGTCTCTTATACACATCTAGATGTGTATAAGAGACAGATTTTAGGCTTAACGGTAAGGAGAGTTTGCGGGTGTGAAAACAATTTTTTTTAATTGCTTATTATCAGTAGGCCTATATCCGTGGATGGTGTTTTGTTCTCCTTTTGGAGTCGAGTGATTAGGGGCCAACCGATTCTGACCAATCAACGCTTTCAATTCCATTGTTCATTGAAACGTTGCAATATTTTGTAAAGAAAAAGGAGCTCATTTTGCGATTAGGCAGGAGAGGTCACACTTCGTTTAGGGGATTTTTAACCTGAAGTTTGGCTGTGTCTGTTATAAATCACTCTTCGATAAAAATGGGTAAGTTCAATATTTTTTAATTTAGCTTAATTTAAAGTTAAGTGGTTCGTCTAAAGTATACTTATTCTAGGCGGTTTTAATGACCTAAGTAGGCCTAGGCCTATGTGATCGTGATTGCCATACTTTGCTTGCAAGAACATGAGTTTGTGTCCTGACGTCACGGACGGAATTGGCGATTTTATTGATGGCCCAACAAAACAAGGAGGTTCTTCACAAGTTGGGATGAGCCCAGCTAAATTTAGTTCCGCGAATGACATGTTTGGTATTTTTAACTGCAGAATAATACAGTGCTGCAAGTACGACAATTGTCGGATTTAAAGTACAAATTTTTACATAGGCCTCGATAACGTTAAATGCTCACAAATCCAGCAGGAGGTGTCAACCGTGGGCCGGGTGTATCCAGGATTTGTCTTCCGACGATGGCGGGAGTGCAGCGAGGCATTGTAACCACTCACAATTTTTGAGGGTCGAAATTACCCAAGATTCAACAAAAATTGCCCAAAATTACCCAAGCTTCCAGAAAATGCATTAAAATTTGAAAAAAACGTGTTTTTCGCATGTATAGTTCCACTTTTAGTTCATTCTATAAACCATTTTTTATTGTAATTGTTTGTGTTAATTATTAAAATTAATATTCATATTCATGAGGTGATAATATGGATAGAAAAATACGCCCTCAGTCGGCCAGTAGTGTTATCAGTAGATCAGTTACCAAGTTTTATTATTATGTAATGCATTAATTAGGTACGATCAATGGCAACGCAAATCACAAATAAACAATTCTGAACCCATGTTTATAGCAATTAACAGTCAATTAACAATGTTAT